CCGGTGCCAGATCCAGACGAAAGGAGTCCTGCCTGGAAAACCCAGTGGGGACTCAAGGGTCGGAGCCAGCAGTCATGAACCCTGCAGCCCCCAGCAGCACCAGGAAGACGATAGATCGACGGGCTGAAGGGCAGCGCTCAGAGTCTGATGTTTTCGTTTATCCTTTTGGCAGCCTTCCGTCCTTTCCCACGGCCCTGGGGGTGGGCTGTGGGCAGACGGGGCAGCAGGGCCGGTCATTACCCTCCTGACGTTTTTAGATACCCGTGACGATCCAAGCCCCTGCTTATGGCGTGCTGCGGCTCTTCGTTTTATTTGGGCTTCATTAGCGCATTTCTGGGACCGTCACGCGTCTGCGTAATCCGCTCTGCCCGTGTATAATTTTATCAATCCCAAAGGGAGCCGAGCGCTCCATTCCCGATGCGGAGCCGCGCTGTGGGGGCATGGGCACAGGGCTGCGCCAGCGCCAGCGCCGCAGCTTCCGGAGCTCTTGCCATAGTCGCTGATGGATGGTTTCATTTAACTGGCGTGGGCACTGTTGTTATCTTCCCTCTTTCCATACTCTGAGGATCCTGGAGCTGGCCACGTAGGAGATAAGGCTAATGGAACTGTCAGGCTTTCTGGGAGAAGAGTGCCGCGCTGCTGGTTGTGGCAGCCGGGGAGGCAGTGATGATCTAAAATTAGCCCACGTTCCATTTTTATTTAGATCCCTCTTGTTGTGGGGGCTCTTCTTCACTCGGGCTTTTTGTTGTTGTTTTATTTGCATTTTTGGGGTTTGAATGACATGAATTGAGCTCCTTCTGGGTTGGTTATGAAAATAGCACGAAGAGCGTAAATGTTGGTGGAGACGGCCGTAAACCCGCAGAACTGCCGTGATTTAGCGGCTGCTGAGGGTTTTAGCAAGCGAGGCGCCGACGAGGCAGCCCTCCTTCTCAGTACAAAGTGGCATTACGGCAGAGTAACTCCAGAGCGCGCGGTCGGAGCATCCCTCTGGGAGCTGCGTGCCGGGGCGGAGGTGTGATGTGTGGCGGGGTGAGCGGTAGCAGGAGGGGCCCGAAAGGCACCGCTGACGCCACGTGCGGCGCCACCAGGCTCTGGCGTTTGTCTGTAGGTGTCCGTGTGTGTACGCGTGTGCACGCAAACGCCTGTCTCTGCGCTGGTCTTCTGGAGGGTACGCAGAAGCCCTTGTGTCGGGATGCGGAGAGTGATGAAGGCACCAGGTAGCGAGGGGAGGATGACGCCCTCTTACACGGTTTATCCACGGTCGGTTTGTCTTTGCCTTTTCGTTACGTGGTTTGCGTATCTGGCCGAGACTAACGGGCCTTTGCTCTCCCTTACAGGCTCTTGATCCTGATCTACAATGGAAAAACTGCTTTTGTTTCTGCTGTTCATTGGCGTAGCGGTGAGAGCTCAGATCTGCCCCAAGCGCTGTGTCTGTCAGATTTTGTCTCCGAACCTTGCCACCCTTTGTGCCAAGAAAGGGCTTTTATTTGTTCCTCCCAACATTGACAGGAGGACGGTGGAGCTGCGGCTGGCAGACAACTTCGTTACAAACATCAAGAGGAAAGACTTTGCCAACATGACCAGCCTGGTGGACCTGACGCTCTCCAGGAATACAATCAGTTTTATCACACCTCACGCGTTTGCCGACTTGCGCAATTTGCGGGCTTTGCATTTGAATAGCAACCGGTTGACTAAGATCACCAACGACATGTTCAGTGGACTCTCCAATCTTCACCACTTGATACTTAACAACAACCAGCTGACTTTGATTTCCTCCACAGCTTTTGACGATGTTTTAGCTCTCGAGGAATTGGATTTGTCTTACAACAATCTGGAGACCATCCCCTGGGATGCGGTGGAGAAGATGGTTAGTTTGCACACGCTCAGTCTAGACCACAACATGATTGACCATATTCCTAAGGGGACCTTCTCCCACCTCCACAAGATGACCAGGTTGGACGTCACGTCTAACAAACTGCAGAAGCTACCGCCTGACCCTCTCTTCCAGCGAGCTCAGGTGCTGGCAACCTCAGGAATTATCAGCCCCTCGACTTTTGCGCTGAGCTTCGGGGGGAACCCGTTGCATTGCAACTGTGAGCTCCTGTGGCTGAGGCGCCTGTCGAGGGAAGACGACCTGGAGACCTGTGCTTCTCCCACGCTCTTGTCCGGCCGGTACTTCTGGTCGATCCCTGAGGAGGAGTTCCTGTGTGAGCCCCCGCTCATCACCCGGCACACCCATGAGCTGCGGGTGCTGGAGGGCCAGCGGGCAGCACTGCGCTGTAAGGCCCGGGGGGACCCCGAACCAGCAATTCATTGGATTTCACCCGAGGGCAAACTGATTTCAAACGCAACGAGGTCCACGGTGTACGACAACGGGACGCTCGACATCCTTATAACGACGGTGAAGGATACGGGCTCCTTCACCTGCATTGCTTCCAATCCGGCTGGGGAGGCCACGCAGACGGTGGAC